TTTGGTATTCAGTAACTACAGTGGGATGGCTATAGTTTCCAGCAAATCTGCAGCTGGTGTTTCAATAGTAGTGATACACAAACACAAAATACAACAGCTTATTCAGATATATCAAGTATGTGCTTAGTCAGTACCTCTTATTTCTGGAATACTGTTATTTAAACAAAATATTTTTCTCTGAGATACTGCTCTAAAACATATTAATTTTTAGGATGACCATGAAAGTCATGCACTAGGGAGGCAACGAAGGAAGTGATTTAACTGATATTCGGGCAATTTGTATAAAGACATAATCGGCAAATCTTGTTAATCATGGTTAAGTACTGTTGTCAAAAGGAGTTAGGTCAGTACGAGAAATGAAAAGAGGCTGCTTTGTAATATCAGAATAGATAGTAAGATGGTTCTCTTTAAAGATTTCCTTTGGAAAAGATCTTTAAGTTACTACAACTTTGCTTTCCAAAGCTATACCTCTTCTTTGTTGTTCAAGTGTTTTTATCTTACACTTAAAAGTTAATAAACTGACTGCATATTATCAGAAGATGAGTAATTTTAATTCTGAAACTGCTCTGTTTTATTGAGAACATATCAATATATTATTGTCTGGGAAAATCTCATTACAAGTGCATTCAGAAAAGACTTCAGCTTTGCAAACTTCCTATATATGGAATCCTCATTAGGTTAAAACGTGCTGAGCAGTAAGGGATACCAGACTTGGATCAAGCTTGGCATATAACTTCCACTTTAGAGATAGGCTGGTGGTGAATAGTTCTTCAAAAAGTGACAGGAAAAAAAAAAAACAAAATCACAACACATACAAGCTTTCCTCCACAATGCAGAATGAACCTAAATGATAGACTGAGAGCACCCTGAAAGCTGTGTTCCAGCTTCCCTAGACCTGTTTACTATAGAAAGCTCATTGCAATTATTTTTCATCGAGGATTTTTCTAAATTTAAGGTTACAAGTGTAAAATGGAGTTTACTTTGCAGTGACTGTCTGCTCCACAATATGGGGGAAAAAAATACTCAAACTTGAAGTTAAAAAACAGCAGTGTCAAAAAAGCTTCTGATACATGCCCATGAGCCCTGTCAGTGAAAAGACACAGCCAGGTGCATATGTAGAGCATGAGAAAGTACTGACACTCTTAAGAAATCACCACAGCTGACAACTTTACATGTTTATTCTTGAAAAAACATGAATCTTGGCTTATGCACAATTTTGTGGCATGACTTGATGGCTGATCCATTAGGAGATCAATCATTTCATATCTACATAACTGTCAGGAAGAAATATTCAGTTTCAACCAACTTTTTATTTCCAAATTACTTTCTCCTACATGTGCAGTGAACCTTAGTTTTGATTTTTATTTCACAGATTATTAGCGCTGTATGGACTTACTATCTCCGTAACTCTAGACAACTCACTTTCAGTTATTAGTGAAAGACTTGCCAACACTCCCTTCACGTGAACTGTTTATTACACCTCCAGTTATGCTATAATGCTGTTCTCAATTATCACAAATAGAAAATATTTCATTTTATGATTACCATACCTAAAATTTTAACTGGCTTACTTGCATAAGTTTGATTTATACTATGTTTCCTAAGGCCACAATGAAATTCATAAAAAAAATGTATTTATATATCCATAAACATTAGTTTGATTATACTAGCCCACAAAAAATGTGCAGCCTGCCTAGTGTTTGCTTTTACATCTCAGGGTACTATTTCAGGATCAGTAATATGACAAACGTCATCCATCTCAGATCATGGTGTTACAGTGGCACCATTCCAGAAAACTAATACATTTTATCTTGAAGCTGAGACTCAGTTTATTATTATCTGCAAAAGTTGCAAGTCACATACTCTCCTTAATCATTCTCAGGTGATTATACTTCCTCTTCCACTTTTCTTCACATTTTAAAACATTTGCTGACAGCACATTTTATCAAACTCTTGACAAGCTAAAATGGCAGTATAAACAATGTCTATTGCTTCTGAGTTACCAAGATATTTCAACCGTAAACAATGTATAACAGAAATCATATGACGGGGGGAGCGTGGGTGGTGAGCATCACAGAAATACATATATACATATATATGTATTGCTTTATATATGTATTTTTATATATATAAAATAGTGACTTTATTATATTTTGGTACTAGAAAGCTTCCGTTCTGAGTTCTTCGGGAAGCAGACGTACAAAGGCTCGCACAGGAAAGTCACAGATCAGAAGTTCATACACTGCAGTAGGCAACAGTAACTGGACTGCCTGCCCACTTCCTCCTGGTGTATGTGAGTTGTTACACATCCATTAAAGGCATTCAAAAAAAAAAAACACACACAAAAAACCTGAAGAACATACTAGAATTGCAGGTCAGAGCCATGGAATGGAAGCACCACTTACCTTTATTCTAAAAAGTAAAAGGTTTTACTTTTTTTTTTACCTTTTTTTTTTTTTTACTTTTTACTTTTTAAACTTTTATTCTAAACAGTAAAAAACAAGGAGTTTGCAAGACATAATGAATAACTGAATATTGTGCTTTTTACATGTTCCATCAAAAGAAGTAAAATCACTGAAACTTTAACACAGACTCTTATAGTACAAAACAGTGGTGCTATTTACTAAACTGTTTGAACATGGAAACAATAGAAATATTTTGAGCTGTCTCAAAGTTTCGACTCCTTTCAGTGTAGTGTCCCACCAAAGGAACCTTAGTTACTTACTTCCTTCTTCTGTTTGTCTCTGTAAAATATTTTTGTGCTCTCCTCCGACGTTTTTTTTGATCTTCTTTCAGTGCCTGACGTTCCTCTTCTAAATCCCATTCAAACGGCAAGTTTAAAGCTCTGTCCCTAGTATCTTGTTAAGGACAATGAAAACTGTATCAAACCTCTCAGAAAAAGGTATAACATGACTGAGGATTTACTACACACCTCTTTGGGGAAGGACAAACTTTTTCATGCAATACCAAGTGCTGCTCTGCTTTGCAAATCCTACTGCTATGCTTTTCAACTAATTACACAACGGTTGGTCCCATAAATATACACTATAGTAGTATCAAGAAAAAAAATAATAATTGCATCTTATTATTTATGGTGGCTTTAACAAAGACCTAAGGCTTTGCATTCATCATTTATGATATTAGCAGATGAAATCTCACCTTTATTATGTTTATGTGATGACACATCTTCCTGCTGTCACCCAAACCTGTGACACACAGGCACATTTACCACAGGGAAACCCGTCCGAGCACACACCCCTGCCCAGGTCTGACGGATTAGCCGAAACGCACCCGTATCGCTAGACAAAGCAGCGCTCCGCACCCGCGCACAGGCCCTCGCAAGGATACGCGGAGGCGCCGCTGCGAGCCGGCGAGTCCCGGCGAGGGCCGTT